ATATGTACATTTTTTTTTTTTTTAATTCTAAATATGATATTAGGCCTCAAATCATCTGAGGCCTGGCGCCCCCCCTGATATCTTTGGCAACCCCCCAAGGGGTTCGCGCCCCCCAGGTTGGGAACCACTGGTCTAGAGGACAGAGTAAGTAACAGGTCAGCTTTTTTTCCTTTTTTATGTACATTTCTGTGTACAAGTACATTAAAAACAACCTAAAAAGGGAGTACATTCCTTCTGCTGCCACTGACTCACCGGACTGCTCAGCCTGACCCGACTCTTCTCCGCTCTTCAAGGTCTTGATGACGACTCCGCACTCCACTGCAGAGAGGGAACAAAACATCTTGTCAACACGTTGTTTTGTCATACACACACCCTGTGTTACAGGTGGGGATGTGTCACCTTGGTTGCTGAGAGCAGACGACCCGTGGACTAGCGACTTGAGGGTGGTGCAGTCCGACTCGCAGATGAGAGTTTTGACGAGCGGCTGGATGTCGTCCATGCTGTGCTTCACCGCCGCAGACAGCATCCTCCTCAGGAAGCCTGTGTTAAACAGAGGGCCGGACCTGGACACACACATGCATTAGCTTTGAAAGGTTTGAAATCAAAAAGAGTATAATATCACAAACTGTTTTATTATGTTGAATGACAGAATATTATTTCAATCGGATTTTACATTTGTTTTGTGACCCATGATCAGTATTTAACGGTGCAACTGGGCTCTAAATATTAAGTTTGAACGATTCTTTTTGGGCCCTCTGCAGACTCAGTCAGGGACGTGCACAGGTACGGGCTAATGTTGCCCGGGCAACGGCCCGTTTGACCTTTTTGGCTGACCTGCCCCTCTGGAGAGAGTGAGTTTGTTTTTCTTTGTTCTGTTGTGGCCGAATCAATATGATAAACCCACAATTAGTATTGTAGCGTCTTGCTTTGGGAAACACACTTTGTCAGCGCTGTCATCTGCCGGTGCGTTAAAGACCACCTCAGTGTCGGATTTTGGAAACTTGATTTTGAGTTGTCTCATGGCAGTTAGGGTAGAAGGGACAAACCAGGGGACTTTACTTCCTCTTGATACCGTCGGTTATTTACAAAAAAACACCTAAATATACATGTTATTGTGCTTCTGTCTTTCTGTGTCTTTTCATCTGTAAACTCCCTCATGGGGCCGCTCGCTCTCTTTTCTTGATCGCCCTCTCACGGGTAAACAGTTCATTGTCCCGCTTCATTGTAGGATTTCTGCCATGTCTCTACTTTAGTTTGACCATCTCTGTTACTAAGTTATGGAATACTAAATAAATAAGTAATTAGATAGGCTACCTTACCGTTACTGCGCTCATAAAGAATGATAAGAATAAGAATAATGCGTATTGAACTGGTTTCATTAATTAGTGAGTTTATTTAAGCTAATTAGTTAGAAGCCCTATTTTATCAGAATGTCTGCACAGCAGTTACAAAAGTCAAACTACATTAAAACAGGATTGTCCCCATTTTGTCTTTAATAGTTACTAACATTAGATATTTTAATGAGATATGGACCGCAAAACAAAAAATGTCCCTGGTTTTCATTTTTAAAATCAAGTCACAAGTAGTCGCCTTAGCTTATTTTGTTATGAGATGTGAATTACTGTTCAATTTAGTTCATGTAATAATCGTTTGGTTTCTTTTGAATTAAGGACAAGTTAAAATTTTCAAAAGGTCTTATGTTTTCGGGGGGAGGCCCTTTTTCCAGTTTAGAGCAATAGCTCCTCCAAATGTCTGTGCACGTCCCTGGAATTAAACTGTGATTGATCAGTCTGTATGTTTAGATGATATTCCAACAGTTCTAAAGTTTTGTTTGTATTGTGTTAATACCATTTCCAAATGCCACAAGTAGTTAATTCAGCAGGCTAGAAGCATGATGGTGCACTTAACATTGAAGCAGGAAGTTGTTCCGACTTTAATCTGCACACATTTTGATGCTAAGCTTCCAGTTTCTTTTACCTATGACGGCTCATTTCTTCTATTCTTATTGAACTGTTGCTAAAAGTTATACTTGTCTCTTTCTGCCTTTTACATTTTCAGTCCGGTTAAACCATTGAACAGAGTTCTCCATGTTCCGAACAAATCTTTCATGCAACATCTGAAAACGGACTTTCTACAACCTAAAAGCTTGAAACATAACTCCTCTCAGACATCGTGGCTGGAGATTTGAGCAGCAGCGTATCTGATAAGCTAGTTTTCAGAAGCAGCTGATGTATTAGGCCCATCACACAGCTCAGTGAGGCGTGTGTGTCGGTGCCTGATGCTGCAGTGATTTACCATAACGGCCCCAGCTGCACTGCTGTCTTCCCGGGCATACTTCCGTGACAGTTACAGGGCAGCGTTTCTGGAAGAAACACAAGAAAGGACAGTATTTACTTTTCATATCTACTGCAGCTTCCTGTATACACTTCTCTGCGGGATTTTTTTTTTTTTAAATTTAAACAACAGGACACATATCACATCATATTGACAACAACTGTTACATTTGGATCTCTTAATATATACGTATATACGTATATATATATATTATAGGCGGTGAGGAGGCAAAGATGGTTGTCGACTAAGTGCTCATGGAACATATTTTTATACCCATAAAGACCGTTTCTAAAAATGAACGAAAGAGGCCATAATAGGCTTATTATACATAAGGTTTTTTGGGATGAAAATGTCTGCTTCATTGATTTAATTGTTGCATTTTACTGCTGTACGTGCTTTTAATAGCTTTATACATTGCTTTGTAGTTTAATCTACAACAAGTCTTGTTATTCTATAAGATCATCATGTGTATATAGTTTTGTCGCCTCCTGTGAGACCCACATACAGTATCTCTATAAAGTATTTGAATGAGCTAGGAAAAACAGCCATGTTTTCAGCTTTTCTGCTAATGCATTTTCCAGCCGATCCAAAACGGTTATTAAATATTTGGGTGAAACACTTTTCAATCAGTTCATAAAAAAAACATTTGGATCAACATATCTGGAAGTACATGGTTTTAGCTGGACAGGAAGAGGATGAAAACATTTCATTTGTAAAGTAATAAAGTAAAAAGTAGAATATTTCCCTCTGAGATGTGAATGGACGTATAAAGTCGGAAAATATGGAAATACTACTTTAGTAAAGTAAAATTACCTCAAATGTGTACCTAAGTGAAATACTTTAGAAAATATACTTAGATAAACTCCATCAGTTGCATCAGGTGTATTCTAGACTCTCACAACAACTCACCGTCCACCATGTTCCCCTTCTTGAGGAAGACTCTCTCCTCACACCACTGACAGTGGACCAGTTTACGTAACTTCTTCGTGGACTCGTCCGCCTGCGTCGGGCCCCGGAGGACTCGCACCACCACCAGGACGAAATGCTCCAGGGCCACGGCCAGCAGCACCTCGATGCCTTTGTTACAGCGAGCCGCCGCTCTGCAACACACAGCAATATTCAGGATTTAATTTTTTCTGCCACATCAGGGCAGACAGACATCCGGATGTGAAGTCCTACCTGGACACTGTGTCCACCACCATGCGTGCAGCCAGCTCTTTGTAGTACTCCGTGCGGATGATGTGGCAGCCGTAGTGCCGCAGGGTGACGTTGGGACTCTTGGAGTACAGAGAGGACGTGTCGGTGGACGTCACAGAGATGATGCCCAGGTTCCGGATGTTCCTGAAGGCAGCGTCCAGGTAGTTCACTGCAGTGCCGAACGGATCCAAGTGACTGGAAGATTGAAAAGAGTCAATTAATAACTGCACATTTTTAGGAAGCATTCATTTATTTTACTCTGTAGAAAGTTAAAGGGGCCCTATTGTGCATATTTTAAGGTTTCATATTTTTGTTTTGTGCCTCTACTGGGAAATGTCTATATGCTTTAATGTTCAAAAGCCTTTTATTCATCTCATACTGCCTGTGCTGCTTTTCACCCTCCGTCTGAAACCAGAGCCCATTAAAGCATGTAAACATGTCAAAGTAGAGGCACACAATACAAATATGAACCTGAAAATAGGCAGGAAAGGGCCCCCTTTAATAGTTTCTGGACAACTATGGCAC